GATGTTGCTGGCCATGCTCAGCAGCTCCCTTTGATGCACAGGCTGCTGGAACAGCTCCAGTGCTCCAGAGAAAAGTGAGCACCTGAAACAGCTCTGCTGATGAAAATAAAAAGAAGATGAACAAAAGAGCAGTGCAATACTCAGTGCAGCCCTACCACAGACTTTAATTTTCAGTATTTAAGCCCAGCCTGTGGTTGGTGTTACACCATGACAGCTGAACAAGTCAGCATTTGAGGTCTGCTACACTAAGGACACGATAAGTCACCATCCTTAATTTGGAATTATTCAAATGCTCTGACCTCAGCAGATGTAATGAATGTTAATGCATTTGCATTCTGATAATTAAGGGATAGATGCAATAGATGAAGAAAGAAATCAGAAAGGGGTAAAACAAGGCTCAGTCTATAGCACCAATTTTTTTTCAGGTGCTAAATCACTTTTTCCATTTTCAAATTAGTCCAAGAGGAAAACCAAAAGTTAAAACAGTTACCAGTTTGCACAGTTACTCCTTTTCACCTAAAGAGGATATAACCACCATGTTATTCCCTTCTATACACAGATGAAAAAAAATCTTGGATTATTATGAATGTAAAAATACAGAAGGTAGGTATAGCTGTGGAAAACAAGTAAAGGAAACTTTCATTATCAGTCAGAGCTTCTAAATAATATGCATTATTTTGATCAGAAAATGATAAAACATTTTCAAATTTAAAAAAAATTAACAACAACCTTGTAGAAAAGTGCAAGCATCTACAAGTTAGATACAAGCCAACTGAATTTAAATATCTAGACCTGAAAGTGAAAACTGTACACAAGTGATCTCTCTTAAATAGATTTTAGTGCTTCTTGATTTAGATACTTGGCTAAAATCCTGCAAAAGTTACTATACTTATTAAATGACTTTAGGAGTTTTTGCACCTAGAAACATGTAAGTTCACACATATACAAGTTCTACAGCAACGAATGTACAGAAATTTTCCCACCCCAACATTTAATATACAGGTTAAGAGTGATATTTTTATGTGTTGCAGCAAAGGTTCAGTAAGTTCACTGGTGCATATATTAAAACTGTTTCTATCTCTTAAAGGCATTGTTGTTCTTGATCAGGTTTTACAGAAAGACATTAAAGACAGATTAAAGACTGCTAAGTGCATGAAACATTAAGAAACCAAATTAAATATCTAGCTACTTTAAATATCTAATCCAGCTGCGGAATACCATTGAGTACAAGCCAACACAGGGTGCGCTGGGAGGTGCAACTACTGCTTTGTCATTTGTGGTGTTGAGTGCCCAGCAATGTACATGGCACTGATGAGGTTAAAAATCTTCCCAGGAGTAACAGAGGAAACCTTTTCTTCCCCAGAGGGATTGCCCCAGCTGCTGGATAAGCAGACAAGTTCCTCCAGGTGAGGATGCAGGAGGGTTGATTGAGGTAGCCCAGCCATGAAGAAGCCTGCTGGGATCAATTAGGCCAACCCAGATACAAAAAGAGAGGAGATTCATTTGATCCTTTATTACTCCTGGTTCCCCACTCTTGACTTCAAGCTGGGGGTCACAGAACTGAATTTTGAGGAGCACTGTAAGGTTGATCTGTTGTTACCAGTTTGTCAGTGGAGTACCTTGACAAATTAATTTCTCTGTAAGCAATAGAACCTCATTCCTTTTAGACCTGCACAGGAAAAATATAAACTTCAATATCTTAATGTAGTTTCCTTTCCTCCCTACTTAATAACAGTTTTTATTTTAATTTTTGGTCCCAGATCTGACAAGAGGCTAGCCAAATATTCCTCACAGGATGCAGAGCTAGGATTGTTCTCTGTGAAGATATTGGCTTCTGGAACAGTCTTATCAAGAAAAAAAATCTAATGTGTTTCCTAACTTATGGCATAATATTAATTATTTTTAGAAAGACTCTCAAAAAATTAAAATACATAACCTGTGTTAACCACAGAAAAATGACCATGCTGTGTTAAAAGCATTATAGGTCAGCTTTTTGATGCTGCTTGGACTGAAGCAAGCCTGGGACTGAATACCCCAGTGAAATGTGAAAAATGGGGATCACAAACCCAGGCTTGCTTCAATACAGCACTGAGTGTTTTGGTTTTGTGGTTCTGTTTCTCCTCTGTGAGCCTGAGCAGCACTTGCTGCTGGAGCTGAGCCTTCCCCCAGAGCTGAAGGCTGCCTGCAATGCACTGCAGCCTCCTGACCAGGGGGAGCTGCCATTCCAAACACTGCCTTCTTGTCCAATATCAACCCCAAAATATCAGGAGAAGGGCAAGTAGAGGGGGAGATCAGGGTCCCACCCAGCAGAACTCACTGTAGTGTGTTTGCTCTAGTAGTACAAATTCACATTTCTTCCTTTCACTAAATCTCTTTGCACATTTTATTTGAATGAAAGACAGCCAGGGATTAAAATTACTATTGCCTGATTCTTCTATCCTCCATTATATAATCAGGTACAAGTAAAATCCCTGAGGCAGAACAAAGCTTTATTGACTGGAAGCAGACACAAACCTGTCCTATTATAATTAGGGAGAGTTTTGAATTGGTTTCAAGGGACTGTCAGAAATAGGCTTCAGAAAGGATGCATGAAATATCTTGTCTTTTGTAGATCCTCCAAAGCTATGTGCTCTTAGAGCACACAAGAACATGTTCCAGTTCAGAAGAGCAGAAAACCATGAAACACGTGAAGCTGCTTTGCCAAGGAGGAAGCCCACTGTAAATAAAGATGCAGAAAAGAAGGGGGGTGCATGGGGAACCCCTCAAAAATTATATAAAAAAAAGTTCTGATAGGAAAAAAAAAAGGCAAAAAGAAGAGGCAAAGACCAGTTTTGAAAAAAAAAAAAAAACAAAAAAACAAAAAAACAAAACAACCAGTCAACATGGAAAAAAACCCCTCAGAGCCCAAAATAAAATTCCCTTTTTTTCTCTGAAAAATGAAATCTGTTCTAACAATATGCCTACCCATGGTTTCATGGCTGCCTCACAGCTCATAAATTAAGCAAGTTCTAACCTGAGTACACTTAATGCTGAAAGAGGCACAATGTTTGATTCTGTAGACTCTATTCATCCTATGATCTATGGAGGTGTTAAAATACCTTATGTTGGACGAAAATTAACCAAAGAAGAATGGAACAAGACTCATGCCTTTGAGGTCCCTCTGGCATTACTTCTAACAGGACATGTGTAAACACTGCTGTTCTGGACAAATTTCAAATGGAAAGCAGAGGTAATAAAGAACACCAAAGTGTAGTAGTGTCAGTTAGAAAAATTATTGTTTCCATCCCCTTTTAAAGATTTTAGACCAGTACTGGTGCAACTGTTTTCCACCAAGAGCTTTACCTCTAAACAGACCATGTGCACTGCTCTCCAGCCTCACCTAGAAATATATGGGGATTTCAGCATGATTGTTTTAGTTTATTTCCATTAGAACTGAGGCCTTTTTAAGTAGCAAACAGGACTGCTTTACTGAATTCTTATTTCTCAGTGCTTAACATTCCTTTACAGACAAAGAGCACTTAATAACTGCTCAAGCAAAGCAGTGAATTGATAAGAAAGGACTATTGTAACCATCACTTCCACAGTAGCCATTCCAGTGGCATATTTATATTGTAAGACATGGTGGGATGCAGCCTCCTGTACACCCAGCTCAGCAAAGCAGGAGGGGAAGGTGCTCTGGAAAGCAGCAAGACAACACTGAACATGTGAAATGTCTCTTTGTGCCTGTCTGAGACAACACTGCTGCCATTGTACAACATGAAAAAATGATGTCCATTTCCATCAAAGAACAGCAAAATAGAGAGATTTTTACTGTGGTTAGCCTGAGTTCAAAGCTTGGGGTAACACACTTATGGATGAACAGAATAAACACTTACACTTAGGCTTACTGTATACAGCTTAACGAACACATATGAAGATCATATAAATAATTCA